ACTATTTTCGTTTGTTTGTTGATGAAACTTTGCAGATAAGTTTATTTTTTCCCTCTCCATACCAATAATTCACTTTGCTCTTCTTAGCTGCTGATGTACTTATATTCTCAATCAAATCATGGCTATTAGACACCCATCTTCATCAGATAATTCGAAAATATCGGCACTGCTACATCTTCCGTCACTCGATCCACCACAACTGAAAGTTAAATTAGCAATTTAGTCCGATGCAACAACTCTGCCTTTCTTAGTGAACGTGGGTTTGTCAGGAGGACCGCAATCGAGAAAAATATCAGCTGATGTGTTGCTGGCATTCATAACCACTGTAAAGCAGACTGAAATGTCGCTACGGCATGGCAGCAACTTCCACTGACATTAATATATATATTCGGCAGTGCCACGTGGAAATTTTCGAAAACGTACACAGGGTGGCCCAGAAGTAATAGGGCAGTTAGTGGTACAATCAGCAGTCACTACAATTTTATTATTTTATTATTATTTTGATTATTGATTTTTTAATTTTAATTTCAGAATCACTAAAGATTAAGTTTTGCAAATAAAAATTGTAGCGACTGCTGATTGTACCACTAACTGCCCTATTTCTGGGCCACCCTGTATGTACGTCCGTACCTGTCAGGTGAAAAAAAAGTGAAACCATGAAAACTTTATGGCGAAGAGCTACGTCTCGAGCTCGCGATTATGACGTCACGCCCGCAATGTCCCGGCCGGCTGGCTGCTCGCTTGGTCTTTCTGTCCCCTGAACGGACCTGTCGCGGAGTGTGTCTCAGAGTCCAAATCTCGTCAAGCGGCTTTCTGCAAGTACTCGATATTCTGCAGTATGGAACTTTCTAGCCAGCGAGGCTAACGGTTTCTTAACATCTATGTTGAACAATGATAAGTTGAGAGCGAGAGAAACTCCCTCGACATTCTGTGGCGTTAAGCAGAGTTTTGGGGGACTTATCCCCGAGGGTGACACGAGGGAGAGGGATGATTAAAACGGGTCTCACGTACGCACCGATCGGCAGGCGTGTGTCTTCGATATCTAGGCTCTGAGACCGAGACGAAGCCGAGGTTCCCCGACTGAATGTCTAAAATCGTGGCAAAAGGCCTGCAGATTCACAAGTAAGGTTACCATGAATCGGACAGCCAAAAAGAGGACGCCTAGCAGTCGGACAGAAATTTGAAGGCGAAATAGGATTACAAGTTCAGGGGAAATATTCGGACGTATGGTGGTAACCTATAGGACGCCTTCCTCCCGGACGGAAAGCGAAGAGGACATGCCCAGGAAAAGTCCGGACGTACGGTAACCCTAGCCACACGAAGTCCGTTTTGGTTCTGCAAATCGCACGAGCCAGACTCACGCGTTCAGCCGTCGGGTGATCTTGATCTTGGGACTTTACTGCTTCTCCGACCCTTCGAGGAACTTGGCCAGGGTCCATGTGGGACCTGCTATTCGTGGCTGAGATACGCTGCATCTCCGCTTCCGAGGACCCAGTCCCCTCTGTACGGTTCATTCATTCGAGGGATGTTAGGGTGAGTTCTAAACTCGACCCTAATGTAGGATGGATTATTTACACTAACCTTGGTTTGAAGAAATGCATGAAACGAAGGAACTAACAAATGGGGTAAGGTGAAAAACCACTGAGTCACCCAGAAACAAGCTGGGGAGGCAAACCGTCCATCGCCGAAGCCAAGGAGAGAATCCCATGGCGTCGACGCAACTGAGGTCGGAGGGGGTGGCGGCGGGGAGCACATTGCGCTTATCCCACCCACTTCCCACTCCCTGCCTAAAGCCATATAGCCTAAGGCCCTTCTAAAACGGTCAGATGGTGAAATCCCAAGGTTATCCGATGCCTCGTTCAACACAGGGTCTATGGAGCGCTGTCGGTACTGGGGCGCTTTCGATATCGGAGAGATGCCCGAAAGGGGGAATGTTTCTTAACATAACGCTTTTGGTGCCTGTCGATGAAGTGAAGGAGAGAAATTCCACATGTTTTTGATCGACTCGATTTAATCTTGCAATAAGCGGATCGCCAAGTCACAAGACATCTGCGTGAGGGATGAAGGCCTATCCAAGGATTATTTTATTTTTCCAAGAACGCGAGGTTGATGGACCACGACGATGGTAACTTGGTGAGGCTCACGACTCGTCAAGGGGGATGCTTCCAGGTAAGCAGAGTTGTCAGAACCAGATAGTACTGCGTCGGACAATTGAAAGCCTCCTGCCCTACCCCCAATTGGTGACAGGTGCCTATCACCCTGAAGAAGACGTCCATTCGCCCGTACCACCGACCAGGAGGAGATCCCAAGAATTATAGGAGTGCTCCCGACGAGGGTATGACCGACCTATCTCATTGCGAACTGCCTTGTTCGTATTCCATTGTTATTGGCGGAAGCCATAAATAGGGAAATCAAGGGAGACGTAAAACGAAAGATTGAGACAGGTTCTCCACGGATCACAAGCCGATCTTAACCGATCACGCGCTTTGCAAGACTTCTTTTAGCCACTCCACCATCATGCCGATTTAAGCGGTTATGCGATCCACAAGACGCGATGAGCGGAGGACCACGATTCCTCTATCGTCCCAAGTCACCGTAAAATCGGCAGGGAGGATCCTTCCTTTTTTTCCGCGTTCCCCCGACAACCTCGGCTGAAGGTGGGTGGGATGCAAGCAACTAAACGCTTGTTTTCGGTCGGGCGACCACTGATTCACTCTCCATCATACAGACGGCCGTTCATAGAGTTGAACGTGCCGTCGGATAACCCTGCGATTTCATCATTTACCTTATTACACTCATTTGACCACCGCCCTTTCGAAGAGCCTTCGGCCATATAATGAGGGGGGGGGGAGGGGGTGTGGGTAGTGGGCGAGACATCCACGATGTCCTCGTCGCCGCGCTCTGGTGAAGATCACTCCGATCACACACTGAGGGAGCAAGGTGGTCTGGGTCTGAGAAAGCAAAGACGCAGATTGTCTCAACCACGAATCTCGGGTCCCATCTAGCTTTCCTCACCTTCCTCGAGGGGTCGGTGAAGCAAAGCAAAATCCGATGGCTAAACACGAATCTGCGGTCCCGTGATTTCCAGAATCGAAACGAAAAATTCTCGCGTTCCAAAATCTCGAGAGTGGAAACGAGAAACAAGAAGTTCACCAAATCATAAAAAATTATATTTTTTTCAATAATGAAAATAAAAAAGCGAGGCAGGCGACCTTCTACCGCCTTCCGCCGCCTTCCACCCTCCTACTGGCACGGTAGAGCCAAGTTTTCACGCCTACTGGCACAGCCCCAGGCTATCTTCACCCTCCCTTTCCATTCTCCAATCTATCTAAAATCGATCTACATCAGCAGTCTTGTGTCATTGTATTGGGTGTTCACGTAGTCCCGTAACCTCTGCTTTTTTTCCTTCGATGCACTGACCAATAGCTGAAATGTGTGGCATCGTGGTGATAGGAGTTACTTTCGTACAAATGAGCAGGTCAGGCACATTTAGCTGTCCAGAGGATCAGTACGAGCACCATCATTTTCATAGCAGAGAATGATCCGTCGCCTTGTTGGGTGTCACGTCTTCCTTAGCATGGATGCAGTGACGAGGCGTAATGCATCTCTGACTGCTTGCTAAGCTCCTCTGTTGTGTCAGGAGTCAGGAGAGTTAGTGATATCAAGAGGCGATTTCNTCGGTGATGGAAATATCCTCGATGCGAGCGGAGGTCACCTCCTCCAAAGTCGGTGCCGAGTCGGATTCCACAGTGAAAACGGACGCGAAGATCTCGTTAAGTATACTGGCCATATCCTTATCGCTTGCAATCAACTCCCTCTTTTCATTCATTAGCGGCCCGATCGACTGTTGACACCTACCACTAGCATACTGATAAAAAGCCTTAGGGTTCTTCTTAGCATCGCTAGCCAACCGTTCCGTTCTCTTCACAAATCCTCAGAGAGTTGTCACACGAGGAGAGATCCGGATTTCGTGTTGGCCACGCAATGGGGGCTGGCAGAGTAACGGATCCACGACCGATCCAACGGTCCACAAACACGTCATTGAGATATTCACGTACAGACAGGGCAAAGTGTCCAGGTGCTCCACAGGGGCGGATAACGAAATTTTTCATAGGGGGGCGGTCCCCTCATTCCTACCTTACCCTTCCTGCCTTCCATCACTCCCCGCCCTATCGCCTTTTTCATTTCTCGTCTGGGGTTAAAAACTTGAATATCTATTTCACTGGCCCCAATAAAAATAAATGTAGAAGCTATAAGCTATAAAAAAAGAAAAAAATAGAATGCCAACTATAGGCCATGGGGGGGGGGCGGTCGCCTCCCCCCTGTATCCGCCCTTGGTGCTCCATCCTGTTGAAACAAAGCTTCCTGGCTTGTAAACCACTCTCGAGCTCCTGAATAAACCAGGTCTGCAGCATATGCAGATAAGTGGCCTGGTTTACTGGACCGTAAAAATTGAGTCCGACTAGGAACGGACTGTTAAAATGCGTGTAACCTGCTCATTTGTACGTAAATAATTCCTATCATCACGATGTCATACATTTCAGTTATTGGCCAGCGCATCAAAGAAAGAAACATAGGGGCAACGGGACATTGTGGACACCCTGTACGTTATGGGGCAACGGGACATTGTGGGCACCCTGTACGTTATGCTAGGTTTTTTTTTTCGGCTGCTCTCGGATTGCGTTACAGGAAGGGGGAGGCGAATAACCAAAACGGACTTGGTTTACACAGCTGGAGACCTTTCGCTCGTTTTCGGATACCCACCTCAACTTCGCCTGGGTCCGAGAGCCTGAATATCGAGACTCTCGAGACTCGCCCGCCTGCCGACGAGGCCCGTTTTAGTCGACCGAATCTCCTTCTTCGTGTAACCTTCACTTCATTAGATTCTGCTAAGTACAATGCTCGTTTGACTCGTAAGATAAATACGCGCACCTGAAAGGAACAATGAGGACGTAGAAATCCCTCCCAGATCCCACGAATTCCCTCACTCCGTATCATACTTCATGGTCCTTCATAACGGTGATCGGTACCTGCTCGAGAAGTTCCCCGGTGATAACCGAGGCGAGAGCTACGAAAGCCCTGCCACGATGATGCCGCGGTGGGATGCGAAGGGATGCGGTGGCCCTTTCCCGCTTCTCATGCCTCGGTTCATCCACTCGTAAGCAAGGATGACCTGGGTCGTACGACGAACAATCGGGGATAGTCCTAGGTCAATAGATCAATCCAAATGCACCAATACACCAATCATACACCATTCCAAAAAAAAAATAGTGGTAGAGAGGCAGTGGACTGAGATTCCTTCCACATTTCCTTGATCGCCCGATCGAAACTCCAACACAAGTCGTCGTGTTTTATATCCTAAATGAGGGGGAAGCAAGAGACCTTCCAACCGTAAGGAATTCACCGTGATCGGGGCAAGGAATTTCGAGCAAGGAACGAAGAAAAGAGAGGACAATATCCACTCGAGCGAGAGGAGTTTTTTCTTGGAATGGTGGCATGAGGCCTACGTCGTGGGATGGGCTGCGATGCGAGAGGCGTGAGGAGAGAGTACTACGTAGTACTACGATTCCGGATATCATGGAGTCGGTTCACGGTTTCTCGTGGGATCGTGATCTCACTGATGGAAGGTTCCAACGCGGTCGGTTTTGTGCCGTCCAGAGCAGGACTCGCTAAAAACTCCACGAAAAACCTGTCAGAAGCAGTGACGTAGCCAGTATTTCGGCAATGGGGGGGGGGGCTACCCTTACTTCTCGCGGGGGGATGGGGGGGGGAGACATTTTGACCAGAGTTGGGAGGGGCTTGAACCAAACTTGGCGGGGCTGAAGCCCCCCCCCCCCTCCCCTTCGCTACGCCACTGGTCAGAAGTTAACCCCTGAATACCGAGACACTGAGCGCCTTATAATTTCCAGATCGCGTATGAAGAAACTGTCGAGCGAAGATGGAGCCGATGGAGTCTCTAGGCCTCTCGAAACTAAGGCCAAAATGGCGAATCGTTATGGGTCACTGTGTACTTGGACGATTCGAAAGGACTAAAGCGACGATTTGATGAACGAAATGATTATAAAGGTGCAATGCGATGTACAGTTAATCGTCTACGATACTCCGCGTCCATACAAACTGATTTCATAAAAACTGGGGGAAGATATCCCTATAACCCAGATACCACAAGTGACATCAGAGGCTTGAAGTGGAAGAAGCGAGAGACGAAATCACTGAGACGTTCTGTAGTCACGAGAAAAGAAGACCGAGGAGCGATCTCACCCCACGGGGGAAAATTTCCCGAAGAGAAGTGGAAGGCGAAGGCACCTTGGGACGATTCGGAACGACGGGCCACGAGCACATCGCCGAGACGGGAAGGGCGCGATGACAACAGGATCGAGTCGGATTTCCTTTCGTCGCGCCATCTTCTGCACGTAACGAAGACGACAGTCGATGGGAGGTTCGTCGGGGGGCGTTGGTGTCGCCCGAGGGTAAGACGCCTTCTGCGACAGAACGGGGCCGCTCGTCGAGACGGAGCCTGGCCTGGAGGATGGAGCCTGGAGGCGTTGAGTCCCGCTTCCAGACCTTCCTTAGAACCGAAACGCGAAGGAAACGGAAATCCCGTTCATGGTTGGAGGGGGGTCTAGCACGAAATTTCCTTCATGTCAGAAACCAGCGTATGTTAACGGTAAAGATGGAGTCAGCGTTCCATGTCATCGACGCTCGATGTCGGCAAATGTACATCAGAGCATGAAAAGGATCGATGAAGATGAAATGCAGGACGACCGGGGTGATACCATCCAAGCCAAAGACGACCGTGGAACTTGAGACGCATATAAAGTCGACAACAGAGGAAAAAAATCCATCCTTTTCTCACGCCTCGTGATAAGTTTGGATAAAATCGGCTTTTGATCTAAGTCGGAATGGCTCCAAGGCAGGTTACTTCGCTGCTGCAGTTTGTTTTAGATTTCAGCTGAACTGCATCGTCGAGTGCCCACTCATAGATGGCAAAAAGTTGCGGTTGTCGCTCCTCGGTTCCAACATTATTTTTTCTCCAAGCAGGAGGACTTGAGCAAATGGACAAGTACCACTCCTGGTGGAACTCGCCCCTCGACTAGGTGCCTCTTGTGAAAATACGACTCCTCATAAAGACATCAGAAATTTACTCAGCACTTTACCTCATTCACTTCAGAAGTGTCATGAAGTAATCGAGTTTCTTGTAAGAGAACAATTATATGTTGACTATGGTTGGTACTAGGGCTCTCACGATAGCAGTTTTCAAAACATCGATGCATCCATCTGAACTATCGATAGTGTATCGATGCATCGTGGGGAGGGGGGGGGGGGGCCAGAGGAGTCAATCTTTTCTCGCCGCAATCGGGCGGACGTTTGTCTTCTATCATTACTTGCCTCGATCGGAGCGCGGACCTCAATACGTCTTCCATAATCTCGCGCTTGTGATCGGGGGGTGCGGGGGAAAGGTGTGACCTTCGCAAGGAGTAATGAAACATACAATGCAACTTACAAAAAACTGTCGGAGATGACATTCATTCATCGATGGATGCATCAGGACAACCTTAATTTTTCCTTATTGCCGTTGAGAATCAGCTACCTAAGCCCGTTCACGTAATTTTTTTTCTCTCGTTTTCTTCGTTCTACACGGTCTTCTTTGGACATCGGCACCTGCAGATGGGAAACCTGCCGATGGTGCCATACCGGCAGTTGCCGAAACATCCCTACAGCCCCTAGAATAAGCAACGTCCATGTTACATGAATCCAAAATTCACAGATTTCACCTTAAGTAGAGATAAAACGCCCCAGGGCAAGTTAAAAATTAAGAAAGTTAAGCCTGCATACTAAAGAGAAAGACAGAAATATAGAGAGGGGACTAACCAATGTACGTTTCGAAATCAAGGGAGTATAAGAACAATCCACTTTCGCACCATGCACCTCATGAGATCGAGCCGAAGACTGAAACAGAAGAGAAAAAAGTAATCTCGGTCTTCCCTCCCTCTCCTTTCCCACTTCCTGTCTCCGATCCGACATTTTTCTTCCCGTCTTGCTTATAGTCAGTCGCTCAGCATCTCCAGAATTTGATGGTGATAAAAATCACGCCGCCTCTTCCTTTCCCCTCCCGGGGCGGACTGTATTGTACTGTATTCGTCTCAACCCAATCGGACATTTCCCCTTTGAAATCTTTTGCCGATACATTGCGATGGTCGGAGAAAACAATCGATATCACCAACCATCGATAGAGGTATCGATGTATCGATCTATCGTGGCAGCCCTAGTTGATACCTACTCGTTCCCCTTGAACTTGCGCTCTTACCCACCTCCGAAAAATATATCCTTGTGGAGGCAGCGGCGTAGCGTCGGAGGGAGGGGGGCACGTGCTCCCCACTTTAAAAAAAAAGCAAAAGGAAGGAAAAGACCCATAAAACGCATGAGAATACTAGTTCTAAAATTACCGTCCCCCCACCCCCCCACCCCCCACATTTTTTCCATCCACGCTATGCTGTGTGGAGGGTACATGACACCCTCTCAGGGAGAACGTAAAAAATATGGCTTTAACCATTGCAAAACAAAGTCCCTTTATTTCTTGTCTTAGAAAAGGAAAGCAAAAGGCAAAAGATACAAAAAAAACGAAGACAGATACACTAAGGCCAGGCTTGCGCCATGTACACGGCTCGTGATTGTCTCGAGAAGGAACGGACCCGGCAGCCTCTTTCTCACTGCAGCTGCTCCACTGCAAAATAACATTTCTCCCACCGAATTCACACTGAATGTAAATCCTTCCTTCAGTTCAACACAAGAGGTTTTTTTTTTTATTTGCCACGACGGACACAAAAATATATTCCTGCAGGATATGATGAACACTCAAATCGGCAGTACTGGGTTTCCTCTAAGGTCTTCATCCTCAAACCTCTGAGAAGTCCTGAGAGATTCAAGACCTCAATTACTCCCAAGTTGCTCTGTTGCATATATAAATTTTGTGATTCTACAACTGAAGTCCCATAATCATGAATAAATAATCTTGCACTTCTGGCCTAAGCTTCTCATGGGTAAGTTTTATCCCACTTCCACGGTGGACTAGGTTCAAAAAGGAAATAATGAAATTCAACCATCTAGGTGCACACATCTTTATGTCCTCTCTTTGAGACAATGACCACTTGACACATGAACAAGTATAAACTGTAGAATCTTCAATTTTTTAAAAATATGCAATGAAACGTTTGCTGCAGGACATAAAACTGACACCACCTATCTCAGGCTGTGACCAAAGGTCTGCTTCTGAGTCTGATTGCAATGTGGAAGTGGGATACATTTTTGCAACTGTAGAACCAATAGGAATTATTAAAGATTTTCTTCCAAATTTTCTTTAGAACTAAAAAAAAAACCCAATGTTTTGGGTTCCAGATCCAGGAATAAGGTGAACTTAAAAAAAGCGCACAAGAAATGCTGAAGTTCACTTGGTGTGTTGAAGGAAAGTATGAAACTAATACTAAATGGCTTAATCTTTTCCCCAACAATAGTTTCATCTTCCCACTTCTGGAGATATATAATAATCAAAAGATTTGAGAACTGGGGAAGAGAGGGGGATGTGGTGACACAACAGGAACAAAATCATCCATCTTTAGATCCTGAGACAGAAAATATGGTAACAAACCAAGATCAATCTTGCACTAAGTGAATGCACTGTAAGACACAAAAAGATGGATTTTTCATGAGATAAACTCCTTCTGCTCTTCAAGTTCAAGGTTTGTTCATGAGGCAGTGATGAGATTCCAAAAATCAAAATGACGCTTCAAAGGAAATGGAGTTTGTCACTCATTTCCTTCCTAGGCAGCTTGTGAAGATTCTGGCCCACCTGATAGGCCAGTTTGTGAGCATACTGCAAGAAAATAAAGAGAAAGGAGGTGATGAGAAAAGGTATTTGCATTTCATCAAATGATGATCATTTCATTTCTTTCAATCCTACAAATACATGCACAGTCAGTATTTTGGTTAGGGGGAACACAGGATGGGCTTGAACTTCCATATCTTCCTCTTGGGGGGTTGGGGGATTGGGGGAGGGAGGGGGGTGGACAGATGCATTTAGACCACTAGATAAGACTTGAATGATGAGTCTGGTTGAAATATGGTGGATATTCACTGAGACATTGCTCTTTCATTATGTGAGGAACAGCAATGTCACTGAGTGGCTCAACAGCTATGTTTATTCTAAATCTATGGGGAATTTAAGCTTTCTACATAACATCGTTATACAGGGTGATTTAAAAAAAACATCTGACACTTTGAAATTGATATAGGTTTTTTATTTATAAACATAATAACATGAAATTTGAACAGTACCTTCTGTACACTTGGGAAATTTGTTTCCTAGTGTAGAACATGCTCTATGTGACATCCTCCTAGCTCTTGAACTTTCCACAAATGAAGAACAAAATTTTGCAGAACTTTGGATAGGATATCCGTTGAAATCTGTTGACTTTATTTTTCAATTGCAAATCACAAACACTTCAAAATTTTCTAATAAAAAAAGTAAATACTGTCTCTGGATGGTGTGCCACAAACATTAAACTCTTCACAAAACTTTCTTTGCACAAAAACACATGAACTCCAAGAAGAATAGAATGTTTTCACTATAAGCACTTTCTGCTCCACTGTATAGGATGTCATCTTAAATAACTGACTTGCAATAGTTGCAGGGTTGCCAACTGTTCACAATGTTTTCCCAAGTGTAGAGAAGGTACTGTTCAAATGTCATATTATATTAATAAATAAAAAATATATATATAAATTTCAAAGTGTCAGATGTTTCAAAAATCACCCTGTATTTCTGAAACAGAACAGATAAACACTACAAATATTTCCTGCAACTGCTTATGAATGGTGGCAGCATTATTGCCCTTGTGGAAAAAAAACAAACATTGTGACTGCCCTCTTGTCTTTTGAAAAAATTCATAGCACTAATCCTTTCTAGTCCTTTTTCCAATCTGGTTGAACACTATCATTTTCAAGAGGGTCCAATGTCCAACCTAGCTGGACATGAGATTTGATGAAATACAAATTCATGTAAATGATACAAATTGTAAGATTGTTTTACTTACCCAACTGTGAATTTGTTTAACTGTAAACTGCAAACCAGGTGTTAAATGTAACAATTTAAAACAAACTATGTTTTTCTTTACAGTTTTACAATAAATGCAAAAGTATTTTCTAAATTTTTACTCATATTATAATAACTTTATTAGGTTATGTAAATGCCTTTAATGCACAAAAAATCCAGGTTGCAGCCCACTGAGGGCTATTAAAAATATCACACTCAAGAAAATTATCATCCTTGAGGGCTTCTAGAATACTAAAGAATACTCTTTAGAGCATACAATTTTTAGTTCTAGAAGTAAAACTGATATTCTGATTTTTGCCATGTTTAACCCTTTCAGACCTGTATTAAGGCCGTTATTGGAATATCATTTTTTGCATTTTTGAGCTATTTCATGATTGTAATTGAAATTTTAATGCTTTATATGTAGTTTTCATATTTTCTATAAATTTACCATATACAGTGAAAACTTGTTAACTTGAATCCTGATAAGTCGAAATTCTGCTTATCTCGAAGTTCAAAGCTTGGTCCCGGCGGAACCCCGTAGGACACCATGTTAAATGCTCCGTTTAACTCGAATTCGCTTATCTCGAATTTCCGGATATCTCGAATGAAATTTTCACTCCCGATAACGAATTTCTCACGGTTAACTCGAATTCAGGGTGAGAAGGGGGGAAAAATTTTTCTCTTGGGACTTTTTAAAAAATACTTTTGAATAGGAGGAATGACAAGAAACACGTTCGGGAGGATGTTCTTTTGTTTTTTTTTTTTCTGCTTCTCCCTCCTCCCACACAGACGCCTGTGGCGAGGATTAAAACCGAGNCTTTCCAGCATTGTGCAGCTGCAGAATTGCCTCTCTCTTGGCCTCCATTTCCAGAAGGAGAAATCCAATATTTTGTTTTTTGCAGAGCCAACAGAGTAAACAAACTAAAGAAATTGTTGGAACATTTTTCCTTCACTCCTACAACCACACAAACGAAAAAGAATATTGATGTTCCAGAACTTTGGTACACTGTTAGCTTATGAAAGTTATGTATCCATTTTATGATGAATTCAAAGGATTTGCCTTAGAGAATGGATGGTTGATTGGCAAAAAAAGCTGGAAAGGTTGAATAACTTACCGTCTGAGATCCTGTAATCATTTTTGGTTGTCGTTTTTTTTCTCCTCCATATCACTCTTATTGTTGAGTCATTAAACTCTCTCTGTGCATATATGTCATGTTCTGACTTGTATCTGAAAGAAGTAAAGTGGCAGGGATGTAATTTGTTGCAGGGTGGAGGAGAACACATGCGGTTTGAGAACCCACCACCTGGCTCTGTCCTCGACCATTCTGTCACAAGATACGATTGGTATGACTTCTTCCTTGTCAGCCAACATGTGCGACAAGTGAGTTTTCACTGTAATACCATATTGTATATATTATACATTTAATTAAATAACAGAAGATTACAAAACAATGAGTGAAAGAAGGCATCTGATGGAATTGAGCCATGCATAATTGTGCCCATTTTAGCGTAATATGGCGCGCAAAGTTGCAAGAATCCTAAGAAATTGCCATAGACACAATGCAAATGCAATGTCCATTGGAATGGATGCCAGGTCTGAAAGGGTTAAACCAGGGCTTCAGAACTGAAATGAAACCAGAACAAAAAAACAGGAACAGAGCAAGAATTTTTTTGCTAAGTCCTGGTTTAAATCACTGGTGGGTAATTTTACTATGACACCTTCTCTGCTAAGAGACATTCCCAACCAAAACTGAAACCTAATCTCAATAAATTATTCCAGAGCTCAGATCTGTGACCTGATCCCAAGCCCACCATAATAAGTGAGCTTCCTTCACTGTTACCCTGAAAGGAAGCATAAACACATTAAGCCAAATTTAAAAAATTACACCATAACTTCTGCATGTATTCTTATATTTCCTGCCACTTTTGAGTATTCTTATTAGGGAGATAAAAGTACAAGGGAATTCATTATTTATTACAAATCTTGAAGACCACACAGGATAGAACAAGTACCATATTTTTTCAAGAGCTTTCAATGAGTTGACCCAATGTGCAAACTGTCTGTATGCAAGTTAATGTCAACCAATACAAACCCTTTCAGTACTGAATTATTTCCTGCCCATTCTTCCAGGTTCTTTTGCATAAAACATTCATGTTACCCCATGTGAAAAACAAACTCAAGCTTTAAGATTTTCTACAGTAACAATATCAGCTACAATTAAACAACAAATTGGCTGTCATTATTACAATTGAGTTGGAAATATCTGAATGGATGTCCTGTTTCAGGGCAAGTGCTTCATGGTCTAAGGTTCCAGTTTTGAACCAATGCCACCCCTTCAGTCTCATATTGGAAAGGTCAAACTTACTTTACTTCTTGGGGAATACTACTGAACCATGGATTACCATAATGAAATAAAACCCAATAGTTTTCAAGCTGTTCCTGGCAAAAAGACAACACTGAAAAAATCTAACAACAAGGTTTCTCCTATAACACTTTCAGCCAGGACCTTTAGGGTGCTCTTAAACTGGAATTATTATATTTCATTGAGAGGGTATGAAAATATCTAATGGACTTGAGGCCCACACAAGTAAGTTGAAAAATGAAATGGGATACCTGACAAGGAGCAGGGACTCGAATGGTTCCAGGCCAATTGTAGTATAGATGGGTCATTTTGTATGTCAGTCGCTGCATTTTATCTGCATCAAACCCACTCTCATCATGGAGAACGATGTAATGAGTGGGTGAGACAGTTCCCTAAAAGCCATCCATTCCACAATATCACTTGCATTCCACATTGGAATAAAAGAATTGGGAATCAGAACTAGTATGCCAGTGAAAGAACTCACTTGTCGCACATGTTGGCTGACAAGGAAGAAGTCATACCAATCGTATCTTGTGACAGAATGGTCGAGGACAGAGCCAGGTGGTGGGTTCTCAAACCGCATGTGTTCTCCTCCACCCTGCAACAAATTACATCCCTGCCACTTTACTTCTTTCAGATACAAGTCAGAACATGACATATATGCACAGAGAGAGTTTAATGACTCAACAATAAGAGTGATATGGAGGAGAAAAAAAACGACAACCAAAAATGATTACAGGATCTCAGACGGTAAGTTATTCAACCTTTCCAGCTTTTTTTGCCAATCAACCATCCATTCTCTAAGGCAAATCCTTTGAATTCATCATAAAATGGATACATAACTTTCATAAGCTAACAGTGTACCAAAGTTCTGGAACATCAATATTCTTTTTCGTTTGTGTGGTTGTAGGAGTGAAGGAAAAATGTTCCAACAATTTCTTTAGTTTGTTTACTCTGTTGGCTCTGCAAAAAACAAAATATTGGATTTCTCCTTCTGGAAATGGAGGCCAAGAGAGAGGCAATTCTGCAGCTGCACAATGCTGGAAAGCGTCCCAGTGAGATTGTGAAGGAACTTCGGGGCCTCATCATCGACAGGAAATTTGTCTGGAGGATGCTGAAACAGTTCAGTGAGACAGGCTCAACTGCTGACCGTCCAAGGAGTGGTCATCCGAGGTCCAAACATACCCCTGAGGCCATCAGGTCCATCAGAGACAAGATTCGTTGGAATCCACAGAGGAGCATGACTCAGATGGCCAAGGAGTCCGGCATGGGTGCTACGACAATGAGGAAATTAGTCCGATATGACCTGAAGATGCGGCCCTACACCCTCCAGAAACGACAGGTCTTGTCTGAGAACAGAAAGGCCAAGAGGCTTGCCTGTGCCAAGGAAATGTTAAAAAAGCTGAAAAAAGGTGAACTGAAGGACATTCTCTTCACAGATGAAAAGATGTTCACCGTCCAACGCATCCACAACAGACACAATGACAGGGTTCTGGCCAAGGACATCAAACAGGTCTCCACAGAACTGAAAACAGCTTTCCAGAGGCAACATCTGGCATTTGTCATGGTCTGGGCTGGCATCACTGCCTCCGGCAAGTCCCCCTTCATGTTCGTCCCCCCTGAAGTCAAGGTCAATAAGGATTTCTACATCAAACACATCCTGGAGGATGTGGTCACCCCCTGGGCCAAGAAGAAATTTGGCAAGAAGCCCTGGACCTTCATGCAAGACGGTGCCCCAGCACACACTGCCAAGGCTACTCAGGATTGGCTGAAAAAGCAAGATTTTGGATTTCTGAACGAGGAGGAGTGGCCCCCCTCTTCCGCCGATCTGAACCCCATGGGCTTTTCTGTGTGGACCTACTTGGAGACCAAGGCCAGTAGCATCAACCACCCGAATCTGGACTCCCTCAAGTCGGCCTTGACAAAGGAGTGGGCCAAAATGCCTATGGATTATGTGTTCACCTCAGCCAACGCCTTCCAAGGGACGTCTCCAGTGTGTCATCAAGGCTGGTGGAGGCCATTTTGAATCATTTTTTGTCCACATGTACTCTGATATGTAATAACCATCTATGAAAAATTTGAACTCGATTCCTCTAATACTTCCTGAGTAAATCCAAATGTGTCGTGTTCCAGAACTTTGGGCTGACCCGGTAGTTGACGTTACTACTACATTTATCATCTTCGAGTTAACATTTATAACTGGAAAACCTATTGCGGTTCTCGCTCCTCCTCGCGGTTTCATGTTTTCAATGAAACCGTGTTTTATGTTTATGTTCATGTTTGCAGGTCTAAAGGTGTTCTCCGCCGTCAAAGCGTGGTCATTCTATGATACAATACGTTGAGATTGTTTCAAGTTGGAGATTGAGGTCGTTCTAGTGCGACTTATTTATTTATTTTTCCTCAGATCAGTGTTTTTTTTAGGTTGGATTTGGAATTTCATGACAGATTTGACACAACAAAACGGAGTGAGCGGATTCGCCTGTTTCCGTGGAGGAACTATTTCTGTCCTTCGTTTCCGCAAATTGGTTGAATGTAACGTAACGTTGTAACGCGTGCATGTTTCAACTGGATGCGAAGAGAGAAATGCCCTCAGAAGCAGCGAGGATTGAATAAACTTGCGTCGATTTGTGTGAATTTTTGTGGATCGAGGATGGAAATTTCCGCGGATGATGACGACAAAAAGTGCAGCTCGTCACAAATTGATGAAACGGACGAGTGTGACGAAAAATCCGGTTTGCTCGGGTGTCGAAAACTCGAATATACGGGCACGTCCGGCGGATGAGACGAAGACGATGGCTCGATTCGATGTTTTTTGACTAAATAAAGCCCCGAAACTCCCGTTTTGGGGAGTTTCGCACAAAAATCGAGCCGTTTCTGCTTCGAAAAACTTTTCGCGTCTGATACTCCGTGCATTTTCACGAAGACGTGTGCTCGTAATTCGGCAACGCACATCGAAGAGATTCTCTGGAAAGGAAAAGAAATCCATCCGTCCTCTGGTTAACACGATTAACACGGCTGGTTTTCGTCCTTGGTTCCTGATCGTGGCGGATGGCACCACGTGTTGCAAACTGGCCTTGGACGCTTTCTCGGACACGGCCTCGTTATCATAATTAAGAGGATTTCAATCAAGGAGACGAATGGAAATCCGGACGACTGCGCGGAGCCATCTTTCCCCTCGGTCTGCACGAAACCCAGGAATCGATTCAGACGTATTCGAGAACGGCGAAGCAGCACGATGATTCTTCTTCGTGACGAATTCTTTCTGGATTCTCCCGAAACCACGTGACATTTGGATACGGGGATGGGGATGTAAAGGGGGCCGTCTCCGCGGGGGCCGAAGAGGCAAGGAACGATCGAGATCGTTCTGTCTTCGCCGAAGTACGAATCATGCATGCGATATTTCGTTGAGTGCGAAATAACCCCCAAACCGAAAAGAAGCAAGACCAAACGGGACAGTGAAGATCGGAACGCGTCGGCTCTCGGAACGTCCAGATTTAAGAATCGTAGAAATGGGTGAGGGCAGTGGTCCCTTGCAGGGGATTCTCACCTGAATGGGACGAGAGGGCGACGATGTCCCTCGATCACTTTTTCCCCTGTCAATCGAGAAAAACTGCTTACTTTGGAATCCAACTTCATAGTCGACTGGTAGTCTCTCACCATTTGATTCCTTCCGTCGATCAACCAGTCGACTCTTTGGGTCGACTGGTACTCATCGATGTAAATAGAACATGCTTGTTGCATTCCTTTCCGTTATCGATCGGTCGAGATGTGTTCAAGTTACGTAGTTGTCTGTCTGCGATGGATTCCGTTCTGCGATTAAAAACCGGATTACTTGCATTTCCCCCTGGGATTTTCAGAATTTCAACGTTGCAACCCAGCAGGTAAAAGTTTATTGTACGTCGAAGAGAAAATTCAATCGAAAATTGTCATCTTCGTTGCATAAAACAAATAGGGGTTCCCAGTAAATTGAGGCGACAGTTGGAAAGCAAGCACTCCTAACGAAAATAGACTTGAAGTGAATGCCTTGGCATTCGTGATAAATATTTCCGTGTATAAATTCAGAGGAATTAATTTCTTGGATTAAACATTTTCGTATACCTATGTACTATTGGCTCTGACGGTTCATGGGACTGGGCAGGGGTGCCGCGAATCTCTCTTCCCCCAAAAAAGGGTGCCATGGGTGAAAAAAGGCGGAGAGCGCCGGGTCATGGGAATTTTGTGGATTTGGACACGGTGTTCTTGCCAGATGAGATACGGAGGGATGAAGCATCTTGAGATTAAGCATCTTAATCCCTCGGGAGATTAGGTCAGGTATGTGTCACAGAGTGGGAGTAGGTAGAATGGGACAGAATCCAAGTCGCTATTCCTCTGTCTTATTGCACCTTTAAAAAAGAAAACCCGACGGGACGAACCCTTCCATCTTTCACTCGATCGCCCGATCGAAAATCCTGCAAGAGTCACGGCTGGTTTACCGAGTCGAAGGTAATCGAACCTCTCTAACGATATAGAATCGGTTGCGAGTTCCGAGCTCGCCATCTGGAGGCAAAGGAAGGAACCCGGGGGATTCCACGTCGGCAGATGCGAATGCCGGATGCGTCGCAGGGTTCTGTCCCGTCCCGGGGAGATCACTCGTGGATGGAGCCGGTTCCCATCGTTCTTAGACATGAAGACGGTCTGCATGCATCAGATGAGGGCAGAGACGGCCAGAGACGTCCCGAACGGCTATCGAGATCGTGCACCGCCATCATATTTTGCCTGACGGTAGAAAGGAGGCCGGTACTCCTAGAGGGTTTTGAAGATGCCTCGAAAGGGGAGGAGCGAGGCTCGAGGGGTTCTCCAGCGCCGGGGGATGGCACTGGCAGGGGGGGATGGCACTGGCAGGGGGGGAGGCACTGGCAGGGGGGGATGGCACCGGCAGGGGGGGATGGTACTCCCCATCGCAATGGGGATTTTTAACTGGCTTCCCGGCCTCGGGATTCCAGCGCGTTCCCGCTGAGTCACCCGGGCCGTCGCTTTCGTTTGGAGTGGGAGGGGGGGGGGGGGGGGGGGGGGGCCCCGGGGGTAAGGCTACTCAGGATTGGCTGAAAAAGCAAGATTTTGGATTTCTGAGCAAGGAGTGGCCCCCCTCTTCCTCCGATCTGAACCCCGTGGACTTTTCTGTGTGGGCCTACTTGGAGACCAAGGCCAGTAGCATCAACCACCCGAATCTGGACTCCCTCAAGTCGGCCCTGACCAAGGAGTGGGCCAAAATGCCTACGGATTATGTGTTCACCTCAGCCAATGCCTTCAAGTGATGTCTCCAGTGTGTCATCAAGGCTGGTGGAGGCCTTTTTGAATAATTTTTTGTCCACATGTACTCTGATATGTAATAACCATCTATGAAAAATTTGAACTTGATTCCTCTAATACTTCCTGAGTAAATCCAAATTTGTCATGTTCCAGAACTTTGGGCTAACCCGGTACAGTGAAATCTATGTAATCAGTTATTTTGCAGCAGATTTTGCTTTGGCCAAGACTAACTTTCAACAAATACCTTGGATACCCTGACTGACAACCACTGGTGTTTCTTCAAGTACTTCAAGTACATCCAGGAAACTGTGGAAACTCTACCTTCGCCTTATAGTCCTCAAGGCAAAAGCACACATTCCCATGCAATCCATACATCGAAGTCCCACACATGATGGAGGAGAATGCCCAAATGTCACTAACCATCACCTTCAACCATCCCTTACAATCTTTCCCTCCTGTCTTGCCCATCTCCTTGCATCCTATCCTTTTGGGTATGAACTAGGAGATGTCTCTCTCTTATCTAATTCACCCTCAAAAGAATTTCCATTCTTCACTCCTGCATTCACATATGCTTTATCAGAGGCAAGGAGATCCACAAGAAGAGCCTTACTATTGCATATGAATATCAACAATTATGCATTTCATACAAAATAACACTCCCATCAGTTCTTCCTTCCCATGCCAGAGGAACCTCAAGTAACTGAAGGCCATGGATAATCTTCTTGCATTTGACACATGTTCTGCTATGATGCAGGTAACTTTCTGGCAGTACTCATGGTACCCATCCTGTGCCAAAAATTACTATGCATAAATGTAATGTCATGACCCTAAAAATTAGGGGGAAAAGCTCAAAAAAAGAAAATGGAATAGAAAGAGCAACATAATAATGAATAGTGATTGCTGCTCCTAACTTTCTAACAATTTGAGGAAATAAGTATACAAAGTTTTATAGAACAAAAAATATTTTCAAGCATTGGTGAACAAATTTTTGATGGGGAAGATGAAAATGGGAACGAAGTTAGAATGTTAATTTTGACTAATTGCCATTCATACTCCATATAATGTGAGCTTTCAACAAAGAAACATCAAATTACAGATGAACCTAATGACATAGTTGAAGACGTTGATAGGTTAAGTTTGATTTGTAAATTGAATAGTGCAATTAAATGACAAAGTGTCTAAGATGGACAACAGGGAGGGTGACAAAAATTGACAAAAGATGAAAATTTGGATGGAAAGCACAACAAAACAGCTCAGAGTTTTAGTAGATGAAACAAAGATGGGTTAATTTAAATTTTCTGAGTAAATTAAAATTAACATCAGGCAACAGATGCCATCTCTATTTCCCTGTCTTATCCCTGCCCATTGTTTCACAAATTCTGGGAGAACACGGGCAAAACCTTTTACATGTTCAAATAAATGCTAGCCACCTAATGTGGTTCCAATTAGCCTAAGTACCCACTTCTCAAAATTTGGCTAGCTGCCACATGTTCTGTTGACCTCTTGTTCATCTCTCTTTATGGTATGATCCTGCAAATATATCCTTCATGTCATACTTCATGAATGGTACTTGACATTGGAATGCAAACTTCCATTTCTTCCCTCTGCAGACACATTAAAATCCCACAAAAACTCAACAATTATAGCATCAGTGAAATATATCACACTATAAGGTTACCTAGGTATATCACTCAAAATTACAATATCACAAAAAGCAGCACTGTTCTAAAACAAAAACACTCCAGTAAGTGATTATCTTGCTTTGCATCTGAACCTTTCATTTCCTAAAAAGAACTCACAAGAAAGGGACATGCTCAAATATCTTTCTCACCAAGGCACAAAAGATCCTTGTGTTGATTCTCTTCTGGACGATAACAAATGACAATCTTGGCTTGTAATTCTCAAAGGTACTGAAGGCCTTCATGATCTGTGGTACTTCATACCGATATGAGTGGTCCAATTGGCCATCACTGACACCATCACGGTAAATGATGACTCGGTCTGGAAGGGCTTGATTGATCTGTAACAATAACACAAGTTGTATTGCATGTAATTTGCATCACTCATGAAAATTAGAAAGCTGAAGGACAGGATGATGGTGCTAGTGACTTTGACTTCTAGACTCTCAAGAAGGCAGAAGATACCTTGCGGTATTCCAGAAGGGCATTCATGAATCCAGTGCGAAGCTGGTCTATCAATTCTTGCCCACGATCCTGCTCACAAGCTGTGGAATGCCAGCGAGTCACCTGCTTGTTCAGGGATGCCACCAGGGCTCCTATGCTCTTCCCCTTCCGAGCTGCATCATGATACGAGTCGATGCCACAGATCATCACATGTGATTTTGCCTGCAAAGCATAGACATAGAATCCAACAGTCATTCAATCTGGATCCCATATCTACAAGAAAGGTCACTGGGGAAATTGTCCAGTGAAACTCACAATAGGAATCTCAACAGCCCAGAGCTCTCCACCCAATTTGCAGTTCACTTGGAGCATGATCTTCTGTGTGACAGAGCGTAGCTTCTTCTGATCTGAGATTGTCCTTGCCACCACAACCTATGCATTTACATGATATATGATCACTCTTTGTATTGTTCATTCAACCCTGATCATCCAAGAAAAAGAAACATTTAAATCCAAGTGGAGAAGAACAACATGCTTAATTGCCATGTCAGCACACCTACTGACTTAAAAAGTCTCATCTGAGGAAACACCAGAGACAAACAAGAGGCATCACAATGGGAAAGAATCCTACTTTCACTTCACAGAATTCAACAGGGAGTAGGAAGGGGTAGAGGGGAAAAGGTCAGAAGCTTAACAATGCTTCAATTTTTTGCAATAACTTTGGATTTTCATATCAACAGCTATTTCACGACAACAAAGTTTAAATTCCACACATTTTCAAGATAAAAATATGTTATGTTCACTGCATGAAATGGGATGTCCTCTGAAAACTAGATTTTTCAAAAACTCATTGCACATAGCACAGAGGCATGAGGTATGTCATCCACTTGCTTCAAGTACAGGAAAAAAATGAAAAGCTGTTGCTAAAATTACGGCTTTATGGTCATAAAATCATTTTGGAGCTTAGAGGCAACTGGCAGGTAGCCAAGTACCTGTCTGCATGAGCTGCTTCTCCAATGACAGCCAGCTCATTTAGCTTTCCAACGAACACCCCAAATAAAATGTCCTGTTCTAGGAAGTGCAAGCTCTGAGCAGGTTCATCAAATACCAAGACTCAACATTTGAATGGCCCTTACTGCCACTGGAACACATTGAACTGTTCAGAGGTCAGAGGCATTCCCTCTTGCTATAAGATATCACACCTCAAGAAGACTGTAAGACAAGATTAATATAAGATATCTTGATACTCACCTGAGATGGACAGGTTTGGTTGCATGTCAGCATCTGTTTAACACAGTTGTAACGGTCCTCTCGTTGGGAACCAAACACAAGCAAGAAGAGTTGAACCTATTTCATAAACAAGAAACAATTAGTAAACTTCATTCCAATAACCACTGCACTGATTCAAAATCCCTGACACAATTAACTGCATTCTGATGAGTCTGGATTGCATGACAGACCATTTTTTCATTTAAAAAGTCAGGATGAAAAAAAAAAGCACTCTTTCTTTTGTTTCAGGCAATTCATCATTTAAATATGCTACAGATGCAGGAAAATTTCCTCTTAGTTTATTATGGAAGCATACTCAAATGTTGCTAGGGATTTCTTATCTTCCAGGCAAAAAATATTGTTGTCCTACAGAAAAAGTTAAACAGCTGTATATCAAACATTTTTTCAAATCTTTAATTTATGTACAAATGCATGAAATTTAATTAAATTTAATAAAACCCTAAAGATTTTTTTATTTTTTAAATTGCATGACTGAATAGGCTCCTCCATAGAATTACATAAATGTGGATAAAAAACTTCAATTTTTCTAATAGGCAACTTCATAACTCTAATGGATTCCCTTCTAATACAAGAAGATATATAAGAAGGAAATTTCTTACAATCAGCTTATCAGTTCAGCAGCTTTTGTAAGTTACTGCAGGTCATCATAGCAAATGTCCAGAAAGAATATCTCAGTACTTGACTAAAAAATATGTTATTTTTTACTGGTAGGTTTGGGAGCAAAATGATAATTCGTAACTCGGGAAAGTATTTTTTCATGGAACAGCATTACATCCATCTTTTTTCATGCTTGAAGTAGAACATTTTCATATTGTTATAGTCACTGTTTCAGTAGTCAAGAATACACAATACAATGGAACAAAGCATGCAATGAATACATAATGTGCACTAATACACTTTCAAATTGTCTGAAACACAATGCTTGCATAATACAAATCAAAATAAGGATCCTTTGCCTTAGAACCGAAATGAGCAGCAAAGAATACAGAATACACAATACACCATGAGGTGAGACAGCCATCATAGATGGAAACTCACAAAGTAAAGCATTGAATATTGTGGAGCTTCACACATGTTTTACCCTAGTTTCTGCATATGGGGACACATAGATACCCAAGAAGAGAGAAGAGAATTTAGGTCCATCCACAGAGATATGCTTCACTCTTATTCAAGGGTTTCAGAACTGTTTAGTGTTTCTGCATAAGAAAGCATCATATCCTACAGATGTGCAGACATGCATTTTTTACCTCTCCTGTTACAAATATCTACCAATGATAACAGTCTCAACTCATGGTCATAGACCTACAGCTTATAAAAGTGAGGGGGCTTACAGAGTCATTAATCTTGCACTTGATGGTATTCACATATGCATCATTGGAGTCTTGAGGGAGAGCCAGCAACTGAGGATCATAAACTTCAATGCGAAGTTGTGGAGCACATCGCTTATACATGCCCAAGAATTCCCGAACAACCACCTCAAATTTCCTTGGATACACCACTATCCAATTTCTCAGGCTCACCTTCATTTAAAAGAGAGATAAGACTGAGTTAGAAAGTCTCATTCTTATAAGTCAGGTATCTTCCAAGATAAATACTATTCTCCTGACTAATAGTTTCATTCACTTCAGCCAATGAAGCTTGGCTATAATGGAAAAAAGTTCATAGGGTATGACTCTCATACAAAGCAATTTCTCCAAGAATTTTGGCATTCGCCAACTCAGAAGCACTCTGAAGAAGCTGCTGAATAGCAGATTTGGTGCACCTAGACATATCAAAGTGATCATATCCTCATGTTAAGAAAACTACCATCTTTACTCTTGCAAAATAAACATTTCAAAAATTATTTGTCAGCTGGCTGAGAGGGGATGCAGTTTACAATTGGGGAGAAGAAGGAAATGGATGCAATTAAAAACCCTGCTACACTACACTCCACTTATTGGAATACTCCCAGGACAAGTTATATTTATTCATTATATAGAGCAGTGGTTTCAAACTGCGAACAACTGTAATAAAAAAGGTAATCAGGTCCAATTGTGAAATCCTATGCCAAATCATCAGTAGAAATGGCACATTAGTCATATTGCACACAAGATTATGCTATGAGGAGTTGTTGGAAGTGACATACAGGAGAGAGAACACCAGTGCTGCAAAGGTCTCTGGTCCAATCCGCTTCCACTGAAGCAGTGCGAGCCTGGCCACCAGAGAAGAGGATCTTCTCTGGTGGAAACTGACGTCCTTCAAGTTCTACACTCTTCTCAGCTAGTTCCAGTCCCCAGTCGCTCAACAGCTTCTTTGCTTCTGGGGTTGCTGCAGAATAAGTACGTAGTAATGCAGAGTTCAATCAAAAGGACTACCCCTGCTGAGTCACACCACTCTATCGAGCTATGACTTCTAAAATCCCCATACTTTGACTGATGTAGCAATATGTAGCAAAAACTTTAAGATATTGTTCTCAGAAAAGTCTTTCAACAAAATTTTTTCCTTTCAAAAATCTTTTTAACTGAAAGCTATCAGTCCTCCTCAGTCAAAAGATGTACGGGATAGGAGCAGAGAGAGCTTACAAAATACTCACAGTTCACATTTCTGATGAACCTCATGAGGCTTGCCTGCCTCTGATCAGGAGTCACTCGCATGTGAGTTGAAATGTCTTTCATGATCTTGAAATCTTTCCTCATTTGATCAGTCAGGCCAGTCATATAGCACAACTGGGGGATGAGGCAGATCAGGCGGGTCTCCTGGAATGAAGTCACTAAAAGTACTAAAAGATTCTCTGCATAGCATGAAGGAAAACTAAACAGACTCTCATGCAATATTAGGCTATTATACTTTATCCTTTAACTTTGCACATTCGATACTCACACACCATGGCAAGCATAAGAAAATAAAAAGCATGACATCCCTCTTGTTCACCTAAAGATCAACTGCAGGTAAGTCCTATATATGTAAGCAAGGTATATATTATGCCATTAATAAAAACACACACCAGAGAAATGAGATAATGAATACCATCTCAGAATACATCACATGAAGTGACCAAACACAACAATTGCAATTGAGAATGATAGGTAGTTATAATCACTATTTGATTCTGTTCTACTGTTTCTGAGACCTAAAACAGGACAATACTCAGTAAGTGCAAAGCAGGGAAATAAGAATGTTTTGTTCAATCTGAACAAGAGCAGTGCTTCATCTGTGATGTCCATTTATTTCTCTACAGTATAGAAGTAAGAAATGAAGTCAGCAGCTGCTGGGAACAGCAATTATGTGAAATAGATTTTTGGCATGTTCTCTTACTCTGGGAGCAGCCAACATTCATGTGAGATCTCTCTCCTACCTAATCAATTGCTAAAAAATATTCTCTCATCTGAATTCAGACTTCCACAAATTCAGTCCTCCTTTCACACTCCTAAGCAATGCATAAAAATTCATGAAATTTTAAGTTCATCTTAAGATGAACTTAAAATTCCCTTTCAAGTTCTAGTCATTGAAGTCAACAAAAAACAAAAATGACAAAAAAGGAGGTATAAAGGCATTTTTCTTATACTCTGGTGGCAAACATGGGATTTTGTTATACAAATTTTCATGAGTGACATTCAGCCTATGCCATGAAATTGGAATGGCAGAAGTTGACTGAAAATACAGCAACTACCATCCAGAATAGGATCCATGAATTACAAAAAATTAAAGCCTGTGAGTCTTTGAGTCCCTGAAGTCTCAGAAACTATGGAAAAAGATGTTTCTAGGTGAGCATTTCTCAAACTGAGAGTCATGAAGCCATAGCCATATCATTTGAAGATGGGGAGGCACATGCATGAAAAGTTAAAGAACTGCTCTAAGCCAGAGATACACCACTCAAAGAGGCTGGTGGGCCAAAGGAACCCTGTTTGCAAGAATCATGTTTTTTTTGACAGGCTATAAGTTGTCCCATCATGGACAGGGCCCTTATATGAAAGTTCAATCAAAAGACGAGACCAACATGGCTTATTTACTAAACTACATCACAATCTGAGTACATAGTGGATTAAGTTCTCACCCCTTCTTCATCTCTCCGTCTTCGTTTTTGTCTGCTCAGGAGGAGTGGCTGCTTTGGATCCAATGTCTCAATGTTATAGTGCTTTTTGTAGTAATCCACATATGTGACCTACAAAAGATATTAGAGACAGTTAGACCAAGGTGGAAAAATAAGGCTTAATCATGATAGAGAATATTCTCCCAAATGACACACTTCTCCCTGTGATGTTGAGAAGGTGTTTAGTGGGTTTTGGCTCCAATCAATGTCATCAATGCGATATGTCTTGTTGTTGTAGCGTGTCAACACAGTACAACCCATCACGATTTTCAGGACATCATCTTGTGACCCTCCTTGGTTGAATATGTCACCCCTGTGGAAAAAAAACAGTCCACTTACATCTAGGAGAAGTAGCATTGCAGGTCATCTTGGATCCTCCAATTCTATTTAGACATATATGCTATGATAGCTCATGACAGGAAACTTAAAGGGAATACTAACATCACAGTGTAGACTGTCTCTGTTCGAAGAACTCGGTGGGAGACATCACAATTGAGGAAGATTCCTCCTTCATACTGATTCACAGCTGTCACATATCCAGGCCACACCTCCAATCTGAAGAATGGAAATCAACCAATGCAATATAGGCAAGTGATTTTCATGCCATTACACAAAAGGCTGTACACAGATCTCCACTTGTGAGTCTCACTTGTGTTGCCGAACATGCTGAGATCCTCGCGGGTCATAGTGATTGCGGTTTATTTGAAGCATCCCCAAACAGTTCATAATCCTTCGGAATTGTACATTTAGAAGATGAATGCATTCCCTATCACCCAAACGTTTTTGGTACAGAAATGAGATTGTCATGTTCACAGGGGTGCCATCCACTGGATGTGTCACTGTACACAGGGTTTCCTGAAATGAAAAATGCTCCATTTTGCTAAATTATGTCAAAAATTAAAAAGGGAAAATTTGATCATGCAAATGTATATGAGCTGAGTTCGATACAGTCAACAAGAATGAAATAGCATTAAAACTATTAAAACAATGTTAACACAGTTAAAATATCAAGTGGAATGAACACTGAATCACAGTCAAAAGTACTAATTAGGGATGGGTTATTGACCAGTCAATTAAAAACATGTCAATTTATCGGTCAATTGACCAGTCAATTAAAAACATGTCAATTTATGGGTCAATTGACCAGTCAATATGGTCAAATATGGTCAACTATGGTCAATTTTGGTAAATAGGACCAACTTTTATTTATTTTTTTCTTCGTAGTTTTTGCACCATTATATATGTCATGACTCACAAGTGATAGACTAGGGATGGGAAGTTGACTGGTCAACATAGTCATTTTAGACCAATTGCAGAAAATAATGGTTATGAGCCCAACAAGAGGTTAGACCTTATGACTATATGATCATAAATGACCATGTTGACCAGTCAACATCTCACTGCTAAGATAAATTTAATGTTCCAACTCATGCAAGCTATAGGGTAAACAGTAATGAATCATGTTTCATAGCTAGATTAATTTTTTTAGCATAGGCCAACCCAAGTACTTGTCCCATGATCACAGACTTTGAGAATAATTTGATGCTCTGATGCAGACTATTAGCCAGGACCATGATTGACCTTACACGAAACTAAAGTTCTAAAGCTGTTACTTAGATCTTGAACTTTGAAAGTCCTTGAGGTTATAAAACTTTGAACAGCAAGCTATGCCTACACACACACTCTGCATCACTCAGGTGAAAGGTCATGGTAGTTTGAGCATTTGCTAAAATGTTTTCATGTGCAACAGGTGCCACAGTCTAGGTGTTTGGCAGGCTGCATGAACAAATCTTAAATTTAAATTTAAATTGAACTGGCTCTGGGGTTTTAGTGCTGGGGGATAAATAACCACAGTTATGAGTTCTATAAAAATATCTTAATTCATTGAATTAAACAAATTAGTGGCCAATAATGGTCAATTAAAAGGTGGTCAATTGACCGCCCCATCCCTAGTACTAATACATACTTTACCACTCAATCCATAATTTTAACTTTAGTATTATGGGTTACGAATTCTGGTATAATTATATCAATAAAAGTGAAGATGAGTGGCAATAAGCAAACTGGTTGACATGTAATCACCACAATCCCATTCTCTCCCACAGTTATCTCCACTTTTTTTTAACTACTCCTGTCCTGCATAACTCAGGCACAAACTGTTACTGGGTCTCATCTCATGTCTTCATTCCATGTCATTTGGATCTCTTTTTAACTGGTATATTCCCCTTATCAAACATTAATACCATTGATGACCACACCTCAGCTAGGCCCATGTAACAGACCAATAAAAATATAAACAGAGTACACACATATGGGGTCAAAGGCAAAGCATACTCACCAGCAAGTCAAAAATCAAGTTCCAGAAATACTGGGGTTATAGGGCATCAAAGAACAAGCATACAAAGAATTCAGTATTGAGTACCACTGCCTCTCTCTTTACAAGCAGACTATGACAATGCACTTAAAACAAGAGCACATATCACAGCTCATGTCTGATACCACCTACCTCTCCAATATGTGGACATGGGTTCACAAAGAATGTAACATATGCTCTTATTATTATGGGTGTCAGTTGATTTAAAAATCTTCAAAATTGTGAAATGATATAAAACTTTTATCTGTGCAAGTGTGGGTGGTTGAATCTCAATTGATTGTTACCTCTGCTTCATTTTTATTCCATCTCTTGACCTATTTAAATTTCTCCCTTAAATTTCTTCAAGTTGGCTTTGATCTATCATTTAGTCAAGGTCATTGCTCTCTAATCATGATTCTTGGAAAAAGAAACTCAACCTATTCCAATGAACATGACACTGTGAATGTAAAAATGGATATCACCTACCCATTTAATTTCATTCCTAGGTTCCAGTTTAGCAATTTTCAGTCACCTCATGAAAATACAATGCGAAGTGAAATTTAACCCTTTCAGACCTGAATTTAATCCACAATTGGAAAGAAAAATATATAATTCCCAATTGTGAATTCAACTGTCAGCCAAGAGAGGACTTCCTATGTAGTTCAGCTATGCAAAATAGTGTCCATTGTATTGGACTAGGAGTGCAATGTCACAAGAATCACAAGAAAGGATGAGAGAAACGTATTAAATGTGTCCAATGGAGTGGACGTAGAGTCTGAAAGGGTTACAATCATGCTGAACCATTCATTCAAGTGAATCCATTAAATTGACTCATATTTTATCTAAGTGATTAAAGAACTTAAGTGCCAGTTTTTACTGTCATTCTAATGAAGTCACATAGTCACATACAAGACCACAAGTATCAGTAAACACAATAATTACAAAAGATAAACAAGCATTATTTCTTACCTTTTGAGGGAGTCTGATGGGAAGATACAGCTTAACCCCATCAAAATTGCGTACAGGGCCAATCACATCCACTTTTTGAGCTAGCATCCGGAACCTCAAGTCTCTTGAGTCAATTGGAGGGTTGAAGGCAACTGTGTACTCAAACACACCCTTGTCAGCCTGGACAGTCACAGGCACATAGTTTGCTGCCATATGAACACTGCAGATAGAAATGGGGTTCAAGTGGTGAAATAAAATAAAAAATGGTTGTAAAAGACATGACATGTAGCTTTTCCATTATTGGCTAGTGCCCTTTTCTGGCCTGATGGAACTTTCTAACAAAGGGGGGAAGAGGGTAGTGTGGGTGAACAGGTAAATTGTAAAAGCCCATAAAATGATCGAAAGGAAATTTCCATGGCAGTGTTATCAATGACAAATAATTACTTTCAGGGAAACATGGAGTTCTTTGCACCACTCCAATGTGGGGTAACTAAACAGAACTATTCAAAAATAGGTCCTTTTTTTAAGTCTCATGATCCTCATACATTTCCTAAAACTCCATAACATGAACTTGAAAACCAGCATACAATTGTGATGGACATCAAATCTTGCTATGAGCACTGTTTTTTTTTGGGAAGTGGTCCTGCTTGGTGGTCAGACAGGAATATACTCCAGGAGTACATTTATGACCTGGCCCAAGAACCAGCTCTAAGACTCCTGTTTTTTGCAAAATATTTTTTTACCTGCATGACACAACTCATAATAAAATGTAATCCTTATTTGCAAGAAACACAATAACATTTTAAAGTATGCTTGCAACTGACTGGGGCACTTTGGATCTCACTCAATTTGACATCAAGAACAAATACAGTGAAAACTCGTTAACTCGAACTTTTAGGGACCGGGCAAATCGTTTCGGTTTATCCGAAGTTCGAGTTATCAGGAATCCCCCCCCCCCCCCCCCCAAAAAAAAAACAAACTCACGGTGAGGAGCATAACCAGAGGGCGATTATTCCGCCATAAAAAATCCGATTTCACGACATTCCCATTATAATTAGCTTTTATTCATCTCGAGTGAAACTTTTAAACTCCATATGTAAAATTAATTTATTGCAACGCCTTTCATCTGGGGCTCTTTCGGTTTTTATCCATTTCTGACATGTAATCAATGATCTTCATTTGCTTTGTAAAAGAACTTGGAATAGAGAAGTGAAAGTCCTCCAATTTCCCTACTGCCTCGAACAAGTCGATTGGCACTGTGTGAACTCCACGTTCCCATGCTTGGCTGTCTTCATTTTCCTGCAACTTGCTGTAAATAGGCGCTTCTCGTGTGCACTCAAAACCTTATATTTTCTGCGCATAATGGTAGAGGGAGGAATCCCGAAATTCTCTGCGATGCCTTTCTTCTTCAAATGGCCTTCTTCGCCAGTCCGAATAAAGTGTACATTCTCTTCGAGCGTCAGAGCCTTCAATTTCCTCTCGAGTGGGCTCACTCCACACAAATGGCGTAAAGGAAGTAGAATATGACTAGAATGGCTCGGAGTGAGAGCGATAGACAGAGAGAATTTTTAAGGCTGCTTTTTTATAGCCGAAGCTTCTCGGTTTTAATCCTCGCCACAGGCGTCTGTGTGGGAGGAGGGAGAAGAAAAAAAAAAAACAAAAGAACATCCTCCCGAACGTGTTTCTTGTCATTCCTCCTATTCAAAAGTATTTTTTAAAAAGTCCCAAGAGAAAAATTTTTCCCCCCTTCTCACCCTGAATTCGAGTTAACCGTGAGAAATTCGTTATCGGGAGTGAAAATTTCATTCGAGATATCCGGAAATTCGAGATAAGCGAATTCGAGTTAAACGGAGCATTTAACATGGTGTCCTACGGGGTTCCGCCGGGACCAAGCTTTGAACTTCGAGATAAGCAGAATTTCGACTTATCAGGATTCGAGTTAACGAGTTTTCACTGTACCTACACAAATGCTATGTTTCACAAGAAATATACACTGTATCTTTGACATTTCACTTAACATTAAAATTTGAAGTTTCATCACTCAGAACAGGTAATAATGTTCAAATGAGAAAAGTGTAAACATACCTTGTTCCAGCTTTGCCTCTGCGTATGATAGGTCCAGTGATGCTGAGATCAGATATTCTTGTTTCTGTCCCAGTCCCCACCTCTGATGGGGATGATGAGGTTAGTGATGGTGGGCCACCTACTAAGCTGGCATCAGTGCTGCTGCAATAAGAGAGAATAAATATGACTGCAAATGTAAAAATCCATAAAATAGCATCAACAAAAACCCAAATGCCAAATCATAGCATACCCTGGAGTAGCAGACTTCTTCTTGTACTGTTCCATCAAAAATGCTCTCCCTCTGCCTTGTGTTGCCTGAGGTTCAGTGGTAGCAGTTGCAGATAGTGCAGTGTGTGTTACTGCAGCATTTCCCATGGCAGCGTCACCAGCACTCTGCCGAATTCTGTCCAGCAATGCACCTCTTCCCCTTGGTAACCCAAGGGCTGGTCCTGACACTGCAGCCTATGTTCAGGATTATAAAAGTTATTATTTGGATCATTTCTCCAAGGAGAAACTGAACCTCATTTAGCTTTTAATTTTCTAGGAGGATTCCATTAAGAATCAATCCATTATGTATCCAATAGCAGTTTTTGCACTCAATTGCACAGAAACAAGTGGACTACCCAAATACCCTTGCCTTTTATTTCCATCCATATTTTGGCAATGTGAAGATAGCAGAGACACTTTCCATTCTGAAATAAGTGTGAGCATGACTCAAAATCTAACGACAAGATCTCCCTTTGCCAGTAAACATGTTGACACATGTGGCCATCATCAGCAGTAAAAGTGTTAATATTAATAATAATAATAAGTGTTAATTGGGAATAAGAATAGGGAAGGGTTTATGCCTGCATTGCATGAGAAAGTGGCATGGTTCACAAGAAGGTTGGGCAAGAAATATTCTTCCTGCAATCAGCCTGATATAATGAATTATCTTCTCCTTTTAAAGGGTGAATGGGAAATAGCCTATTAAAGTATTCAGGTTCAGTTATACCTGGAAATTTGGATCTAAAATTGGCTTTTCTAAAGAACACAACTTTGATGCATGCTAAGTTTAAACTCTCTTTATCATTTCTTTAAATTTCACAATAATCCAATTCAACCCTGGTATCAAGCAATCCTATTGGGAGTAGTGAGATCTATTAAGGCAAATAAACAAACCTGCACAGGTGACTGGGCTTCTTGGGTCTGTACATCTTGATGCTGTCCAGGTCTTCTAGGCACTATTTGGGCAAGTAGAGCCTGAGCTCTACCACCTCTGCCAATGGGCTTTGGAGGATCACTCATACTCCTTCTTGACCAATAAAATTTCTCTCAGAGTATCATGAGACCCTAATCTTCCTCTTCCATGAGATAACATCAAGGCATGGATCAACCTGAAGAGCAGATTTCCAAAGGCTTTTGGTGCTAGATGCTAGAAATTGCAATAAACTTAGGCAACAATACTAGAAAGATCTATACTAAATATTGCTAGTCAATATTTTAATTCGATCAAGGACTCATTTAAAAAACTTTTCCAATATCCTATTTTATCATTTCCCTTAATGTGAGTGAAGAACCATGGTATGGTAAACAATAACCTGCACATCTAAGAATTATGCCTATAAACCTAAACCATGGAAATGCATGCTGGGAAACAAAACTATTGAGTATCCACACCCAACATGAGGATGAAAATATTCTACTCCATTTAGGCATGGATCTGTGGAGAAGGAAATTAATATAGGAGCATGAAGAACAGTGTGATGGTCCTCCCATTCATGAAATGAGCTGCTTACAAAGTCAGCAAAGCATGCACAGCCACAAACAGACATTCCTTCATTAAAGTAAACTGAGGGTATGCTGGAGTACACTGGGAACACTGGGTGTGAGATTCATATGAAACAAAGGAGACAGTCACATATCACAATAACCAGAGCCATGACCCCCTGAATTCCCCATCCCAGGATTTTTATGATTTTCATAGGATGGTCCAAAACTGGTTTAACTACAGTTTTATGAAAGCGAAGTTAGTCATGACCTGTAGCATCATTTCATTACTGTATAGGGTATAGAGAAGAGACTCAAGACATTCAGCTTCACCCTCCCCATAAGGGACTATTCTTCTGGCTTCAGGTGATTAGGCCTACACAGGCCATGGCATATTCATTCTACAGGGACCTCAAAAACAAAACTGCCACTGGCTCTTTTTTTTTCAGTGCTGACTCATGTTCAGCAAAAGCAACTGGCATGACTATGACTTCTCTAGCTATAAGATCAAACAGCTAAGCCTACAGGTGCCATTCTTGAAATAGTTTGCGATACAAAAAATTTCAAAGTCAGCCTACCCTAGCTGGGATGGCGAGTTGTGATTTCCGTAGTAGACTCTACACAAGAGAACTTTTGTTCTATTGACGATTATTACAATGTACACTAAGCCTAATTTGGCAGGAATGAGTAATACTTCATGCCGCCTGCAATCTTACACTGTGGGATTGGGATTTCAAATGAACTCAAGAGTCTATACGTTGCAACTATTGGAGCGACTGAAAATGAAACAAGAGAAGTGAGCGGGGGAATGCAATAAGGCACGCATCAAAGCACTCCGGCAGTAAACATGTACGCTAGGCCTAGGTCTACGTCAAGGTGCAGATGTTATCAGTTAAACTCGACACTTGCCCACCGGGTTCCAATACGAATGTACGGAAAGAGCCACAGCCTCAATAACCACGAGTTTTACAGTGTCCGGGTAAAACGCGGAAAAAGGCCTTAGGAATGAGGAAAGCGGAAATCCCGTGTGCCTAAAATTTTGCCCGTGATCTCCTGTGAGGCGATGCCGGAAGCATTCGTTGAGTCTAAGTAAACGATGTCCACGGGATCTCCTTTATCCCTTTCATTCCTCACCCAATTGCAAAATTTGAGTTAAGGCAATTTCGTCGCCCTCCTCATGCTGTGCTAAGCACTTGAAATCCACTGGCCAGATCTCTGTCTCGTTCTAATGCCTCTTCTGCAATTTGCCGCTGCGCACTGATGCCTGGGTGAGAAACACGATAAGAAATCCAGAAAACCAATGGCTTCTTCCGCAAAGCTGTTTTCTTCGGCTTGAGCTGATTTTTGTCTACCGATCCCTCTCATCCACCCAGATGAACCGGTTTCTTGCAGCTTGTGGATGAATCTGCTCACTGTACCTTCCATCCTTAGGCAGGAGATTCTTCCACATCTCTTGCTCCACCCCATCCTTTGTCAAAATACCAGGTTTTATTTTCTTCTTTATCTTCTGTGAAGAGTAACATTTTCACTGAGAGACCAAGAAGTTCTGCCGTGGAAATGGTAGGAACTACGTGCGCCATCCACTTCCCGTCTCTTTCCCACTCATACTACCTGCCCCTCCTGTTTTAGGCGCCAGTCGTCCGGATTATGGCGTCGCGGCGCCAGCCCACGTCAGTCTCCACGATACGCCCGTACAGGTAACTCACCGGCCGAGGCTTCACCCAAAATTAATTAACCCCCCCCCCCCCCCCCCAAAAAAAAAAAAATCCCGTTGCTTTCGGAAAATCACTCCTGTTGCAACACGGCCCAAGAGAAACGAAGATTTTTGGATACTTAGAGGACAGGCAGAAATAGCCGTTTAAAATATTTTTCTGCCATTTTCTAATACAGTTACAATTTTACTATTATCTAAAAATGGTATAAGATTGCATGCACTGTACCCTCATTTGTTTCTAAATCAGTTCAAGGTCAAAGGTCGGGTGTTTCATCGGCCGACGCGAGATGGCGCCTCTCTCGCCGCACGACCAACAATTGTTGGGACCATCGACTCATTTTATGTACTCGAATGATATTCTGTGAGCACTGATGATTCCACGTAACACCATCATATCTGTATTGTGGAATGTCCTTCATTTAACACCGAAGGGAGATGTTTATGGAATGATCCATGAGGAAAGGTGCACACCAATAGAGAAGGTAAAGCCTCTTCATAACTTGTAGCCTCGGCACCTATAATCCCGGAAACCCCGCTCGCTTCCTACTTAAGGATAAGAAATAATTGAGTAGGCTATACCGTTGCTGTCTTCATCACCTCATAGGATTAGAGTGCAATCGACCTGTCGAACAGTTGCAGCTGTTATTGGGTGCGCGTTAGAATTAAGTTACCTGTACGGGCGTATCGTGGAGACTGACGTGGGCTGGCGCCGCGACGCCATAATCCGGACGACTGGCGCCTAAAACAGGAGGGGCAGGTAGTATGAGTGGGAAAGAGACGGGAAGTGGGAGGCTCTTCTTCTGATCGTTATGTCATGGAAGGCATGGCGCGGAGTACGTAGGATGAGGTGGAAAGCTCTCGGGTGTTGAAGAACATCGTCGCTGAAGGGGAGTGAGGCATTCTTCGATGCAAACCATTGGCGACCGACTTCAAGTCGGTCAAAAATGACCTGATATCGACGTGACCCGAGTATGAAAATTCACGTGAGGATGCAACGAGAGTGAGACAAGGTACTTGGCACAAATAAGTGCGAGAAATTCTTCCAACATTCCACGTGATGGTCGTCAGATGGGAAGTCGAGACGTGAATCACCGCCGAGATGGAGTAATTTCTCGGATACCTGCTACATTTGCCGTGTGTGCCGCCTGCTCCTGCCAGTCGTAGTCGATCGCATGTAATTTACAACTTTCACGAACGCTATGAGAAAATCAACTTATCAAAAACAACTTCCCCTCAGAAATATTTCAAAATATTGAAATCGAAACCAACAAATTGGCGGAAATTATTTGCTTTGCATGATCCTGCAAGAACATATTCCTTCTTCGAGACGAAGAAAATGTTGGAGATCCACAAGAAGTCATACTTCTTCAAAGCATGGCGCCGTGTTTGAAGGCACTTGCAAAGCAAGCCCTTCTGCGAAACGGCAACATCGGTTTCTTCGGTAACACCGAGTGGCCTGGGAATTTGCCCTATCTGACTGCGTGTGAGCATTTGGCGTCCATTACGAAGGACAAACTCGAAGAATGACGGATGAACTCGAGGGAAACGGACTTTTCGCGAAAGTTCTCTGGGGTCACCTGGAAGGACTCCGCGAGGGCCGCGCTCTCTTCACGAAAATGCTAAAGACGTATCCGTCTTGTCGTCGGGCCGTTTTGCGGTCTGACACGGCGTGGATGAAACCCGGGCAGAGACCCCGAAAGTAATGGGCATCGATGGGCGCTCGTCCTGGCAAAGGATTTGTCGATGCGCATCGGAATCGGGGAAGGCACCGATGGATTGTCTAGTTCGGTGGTTCCTAGTTTGAAGAAGGGGAACTCGAGCGAGTGCACCATTTGCCGTGGAATCACTCTCCTCGACATTTCTGTAAAGATCTATGCCGACTTGGGCGCTCGAAAAGAGAGCACGTGCAGTCGTTTGAGAAACCACCCGAGAGGAGAAGCGTGGATTTCGCTCGCGGCGCATCATCACGGACCAGCTCTTTGCTCTTCCCCGGGTTCTCCAGAGAAATTGAGAACATGCCAGAGAGCTAGAAACACGTGTTTTCCTCGAGAAGGCATGCGACCGTGTTCTTCGAAGGAAAGGGTGGGGAATCCCACAGGAGCATGGGATTAACGGTCGGCTGCTGCGAGCCATTCAATTCTTATAGGCTTTATATGACTGCAGGAGCTGCGTTCGAGCAAATGGAGAGAGGAAAGGACTCGCTCCCAATACGAGTGGGAATCCCCTCATGAAAATTTTCTAATAGGATTCCTATGGGTTTATGGGATTCCCATAGAAATCCTATGGGATTCCATCGGCGGCCATGAAATTCCATAGATGGCCATGGGATTGCCATAGGATTCATATAGATCTCATGGGAATCCCATTGGAATTTTCCAAAAGAGCCGTCAGGGTTGCGTTTTCTCACCTTTCCTGTTCTCGTACGTGGATGGGATCCGTAGGCGTAGGTTGGATCTCGAGGGTGTCATCGGTGATAACGAGGTAAAAGTACTTCTCTTTGCTTCATCTCTTGACATGGTCTGTACGGGAGCTTTGGGGACTGCTCGATCGGTTCGACGAGGAACGTACCACGGCCGGAATGAAATCGAGCGACCCCAAAACGTAGGTTATGATCATCTCGAGAAGTCCTGTGCGGTGCGGTGTGCCTTACACGTTAGGGAACGGGTGGAAAAGATGGAGTGACTCGGGGTCTGGTTCTCGAGCGACAGGCGATTGGGAAACGAGAGCGACAGCTGCATCTCTAGGGCTTCCGCCGTTTGGCGGGAACTCTGGGAGACCGTGCTTCCCGAATCTCGTTTCCAAGGAGGCGAAACTTTTGGTTTTGAAGAGCGTTTACCTCTCCACCCTCACCTACGCCCACGAACTTCGGGTGATGACCGAAAGGATCAGATCACTCGTACGAACTGTCTCGATGAGGTTAT